CTTACTTAAATTATGTTTAAATGTTACATTAAAACATAGGCATTGTACATATTTATGGGTACTGTGTGGTATTTCAATACACACTTATACTGTAGAGAGCTTTGACCAGGAAATAGATCTCCTCTGATGTAATCTGGTTGATAACTTACAAACTGACTAGCTTGCTGAAGCTGTGTATGGATCCTGGCCTTGTATAAAATAAGCCCTAAATTGAGTATCACAGGTTAGAGCTGATGTTGGGTCTCTCATTGTCCCGTGGCTCTAGTTTCCAATTATTGTTTGGTTCCAGCTAATGTGAGTCCATTTAACAAGTCCTGATGAGCACCTACCCAACTGGGAAAAAAGGTAGCATGCTCCCAAGAAGGCAGTGAGAGTTGGTTGGATAGCAGCATCTGACTCAGCTGCTTATTGGAAGCAACAGAAAAGAGGGTCTTGGTGTAGCACAAACTCTCAGCTAAGGTATGAGACAGGACAGAAGTCTCAGCCGTGCTGTCTACTAGAGCAGAGCTTGGGATCCTAATCCTCCAACTTAGATTGCTCAGCCACTAGACTCATGAGCCAAGTAAGTTTCTGTTCATCTGTTCATTATAAATTATTCAGTCTGTGGTGATCTTTCACAAAGTCATATGACAGACTAACACATCCCTCTTTCTCTGTTTATCTTGAAGATTATATGCAATAAAATGTACTCCACACACCCATGCATAATGCGTGAATTTATGGAACACACCCATAATCTTTACAGCCGAGTCCTAGCTCTGCTCCTTCTAACCTTGCAGATTTCTCATTTCTCTTCTCATCATATTGCAGTGTGGTTGGTTCTACGGAGCCAGTAAGATGATGCATGTTAAAACCTTGCTGAGAATCTGGAGGTGTGACATAGTTGTAAAGCTTTAAACCAGTGTGAGCAAAGTGCTGTATCCAATCTCCATCACTTCAAAGTGGGGGGAAAAACCAATAAAATGAAACTCCTGGGTCCTTACCTTTTGAGGTTCAGTTCAAATCTCAAAGCCCAGGGGAAGCCTTCTGACCTGGCATAAAAGAATCAGCGATTCTCTCTTTTACATTTTCTAGCTCATGTTTATTCCTTGACCTAGGCTGTATTTCCCCCTTCCTTGTGTGGCATCTTGGTTTATGTCCATATCATCTAATGCCCTGCACCAAAAGGGTCAGGGGCATTTGCTTGCTGTGTCCCACAGTCTCAGAAATTTTAAACAGAGTGGACAGACGGTAAACTTGCAGGCCTCTCCCTGAGTGCACTTTTAACTCCTCAATTGCAGTACACATAAAAAGGTTTGAAAAAGCAGTTAGGGGGTTGGGTGCTGTTCCCCTGGGGGGAAGATGGACAAGCACAGAGAAAGAAAAAAGCAAACATCCATGCTCAGCATGAGCACACCTGCTGTTTACAGAGTGCGTTTCTCTCAAAGGTCAAAGTACTCTACAAATCCATCATGTTGCTGACCATATGGCCATCATATAGATGATCTAAGCGCCAATTATTTTTCTGCAGCAAACCTAGAAAACATTTAAACGCCAGTGAGTCGTATTTAAGCCCTAGGCCCTCTGTATGCCCATCTGAACTGAGAACTCTTGTTTGATGGTTCACTGCTTGGGGAGAAGACAATAGCACGTGGAAATGACTGAAAGAAGAATGTGGTCTTAGGCCCTTCTGTGCCTCAGTTTCTCTTTATGATTGATAGGAGTAATATTCGTTCTCTGTGGCTCTACTTTGAAAATTTCCACTGTTAAAAAAAATAGCAATAAAACATGCTGAGGTAGTGCTGGAAGATAATGCTTCAACACACTGCCTTTTTGCACAATGAATTTAGTGTGGCTAATGTTTATTAGCTGTTCTCTCCATGTTAAAAAAAAAAAAAAACTGTTTTAAAGCACTTTCTGTGTACTGATTTATTCAACCTTTAAAACAACCCCCAAAAAGCCCTGGTTGTATAGAAGACGCTACTGGGCAGAGAAAGGTTAGGAGAGAAGCCACAGAGCTAGTCTGTAGATGGCCCTGGCGTGGCACCCACACATAGCTGTGGGACCCTGTGACATGGAAACAGCAACACTGCCACACATACATAGGCAGGCAGAGCTCCTTCACTGGGAGAACAAAGGAGTTGATCAAGCGGCTCCACTCAAGAGAGGAAGCCACAAGCTTTTATTTAGTTTTGGGGGAAAAAATTTGGCTAAAATTTGAAAATCGTTCATTAGTCAAAAGACTGGGTTTTGTTTTTGAGATGGGTCTCTCTGTGTACCCCTGGCTGTCCTGGAACTCACTCTGTAGACCAGGCTGGCCTCAAAAATAGAGATCCTCCTGCCTCTTCCTCTAGAGTGCTAAGATTAAAGGTGTATGCCACCACTGCCTGGCTTAGGATTTTTAATGCTTAAATCAAGAATGACCGAGCCCCTTCTGCTGCTGGTGTCATCATCTTGCTTGAATACCCTGCTTCCATGGTTTGATTGAAGCCTCATGATGACTAGACTAGAGGGGTTGAGGTGGTGAGAAAGTACAAGAGTAAGATAAAAATAAAACAAAACAAAAAAAACCAAAGAGCATATCAGCTCCACATGTAAGAGGTCAAGTTAACCCTGTATTAAAGTTTTAGACAAAATAGTTCTCAGTGCTCAATGTGTTTACATGTAGAGCTGAGTATCCTACAACTCCAAGATTAAGGATAGACATGATATAAAAACAGAGAGGCCAAGTCTTTCATCCCATTTTAGTCATAGCAAATAACTTTGTTAGCCCACACATCAGAAGGGATTCAGTACTGAAGCTGGTAGCAGCTAACACCATGTCACATGGCTATGTGGCCTCTAAAGTTAGTATTTATTAAGTTACCTAAGAGCAAAGAAAGCTGAATGGTTTTTCTGGCTTTTTCTTTGATAATAATTCTCTTGACTTTGTCATTTCTGTGAGTATCTTGAACCCCACCAGGTTTTATTTGGCTTAGTCATAAGGCGTTTCAAGTCCATAAATATAGCTCTGTTGGGAGCTATAAACCCTTGGAGATCCATAATTTAATTTGATTTATGTGTCTGATTAAAAAAAAAAAAACAAAACAGTGTAAGCATATTCTAATCATTGAGATAACCACCAGTATTAAGCTACTTTTCTATTGCGGCGATAATACTGAGTGGCCAAGGCAACTTATAGCAGAAAGAGTTTATTCGGCTTACAGTTTGAGAAGGTTAGAGTCCATGATGGCAAAGCACCGCAGCAGAAGCAACAGGAAGCTGGGATTTAAGTAGAGAAGGTGAACTGGGAATGGTGCCAGACTTTGAAACCTCAAAGCCCAGCCCCAGTGACACACATTTCCCAAGCCTACCAGAACACCACCACCAACTGGGGACCAAGTATTTTAAATGCCAGAGACTACTACGGGGGGTGGGGGGGAAGCATCTCATTCAAACCACCATAAATCTCTGAGAACTAATGTTTTCCCTGTGTCTCTGTGTGCTATCCTTTGGATTGCCACTTTCATTGATACGTTAATAAGAAAGAGACCTAGGGAGAACAAAGGTGATATGGTGGACAGAAGGGAGACTAGAAGTAAGAGGAAAGCATCCTTAAGGGCCGCTCACATACCACAAGAGTGGTGGCACAATGGAAAACTAAGGGTACCCCTCTGGCAGTCAGCAGCCATATACTGTCAATAGCTGAGGAAGCAGTATTAAGCTACATTGTACTGTTCTGGAAGGTAATTTTTGTTTTCAATTTAAAAGTCAGTTTTGGTTTTATTCTTGAGTTGTTCAAAAGTTTAAGTTTTTACCTGGCGTTATGTATACATAGTCTCATTAACAGGTTGCTTTAAAAGAACTTCTAAGCTAAGACTGGGAGACCTAAATAAGTATTGCGGTTTAAGTGATGGGCAAAGCTAGTTTCCTTTAATGTGCCCAGGCCTTTTCTGTTTAGAGCAAAGGCAAACACTAGCTCACTGGGCATGTCATTAACATCCTGGTACGGACTAGGCTGTTAGGCCCTCCCTGTCTGAGGGCAGGTTTTGACAGGAAAAAGGAAGGCTACTCTGGGATTGACGGGGGGAGGGGGAAAATGACCTTTAGGCAAAAACCTTGCCCAACCGTTCAGTAGCTGTCTGTCTGCGAACAAGAGTAGGACTCTCCAATCCTCCTGTCCTCAGGGGAAATCCACAGCAGCCTCACCCTTTTCATCCTCGTGGCCTGCATGAAAGGTTAGTTCAGACGTTGATGTTCTGTGGGAGACTACCAAGGCTTTAGCATTAAATATTTAAATAGTGAAGTCACCAGGCAGTCTTGGAGAAGACCCCCAGCTGTGGACTCCTTGGAGTGATTTAGGGGCGCAGGCAGGCACCACCCGCTAGGCGGTGGCTCCACCAGCTGGTGCCCTGCTGCCCCAGTAAGGACCAGGCCAGGGATTTCACCAGTCCCGTCTCCGGGAAGCTGCAGAGCCCTTAATCCCCTGCTGTGCTCTGGCCCCAGCTCACTAGTGCTTGGACTGCAGGTACTCCTGCCTCTGGCTTACAAACTGCTGTTCTCCAGAAGCCCTAGAGGTGGGGAGGAGCTCGGTCACCACCGTTTAAGGAGCAGAGAATGTGCATGGGTGAGGAGCTCAGAAACTGGACGTCGACTTCCCAAACCTGCCCGGGAGCTCCCTGCGCACCCGGTGTGCCGAAGGGCTGGTGGGGACCGCCCTTGCTGGAGCACCTCTGCAGACACAGGCAGTCCAGAATCCTAGAGTTTGGTGTGCACTGTCGAGAGCCGGAGGGTGCGTGCGTCCCTGGCAGGACCGGGGGCAGGGACCTCTTCGAGGCGGAGACCCGCTGATGGCGAGAGGCTGCAGAGCCCCACCTGCGCCAAGCCGCGGGGTCCGAGGACTCCCGAATGGCAGGCTGAGGCTGGAGGCGGGCGGCGAGAGGAAGGGGCGGCGACCGCGGGCGGGCGGCCCGGCTCGAGGCCGGGGGCGGGGCGGGAGGGCCCGGGAGCCGAGGGAGGAGGGGGCGGGGGCGGGCCCGGCGCTGCGGGAGCCGCGGGCGAGCTCGCACTCGGCCGCGCCGCGGAGCAGGCATGGGAGCCGCGCGCCGTCTCCGGGCGCCCACACCTGTCTGAGCGACGCCCCGGCCGCAGCCCCGACCGGCTGCTCCACGCGGGTGAGTGCAGTGCGGGCACCTGGCGTCTCCGGCTGGTTACCGGGGAGCTGCGCGTGGGCCGAGGCGGGACAAAGGGCCGGGTGCGCGTGGGGTGTGGTGGCTGCGGGCTGCAGAGCCTCCCCGGGATACGCGCCGCTCTGGGGCGTTTGGATCCACGCAGTGTCACTCTTAAAGTGGATGGGAGGCCGTCTGGGATGCAGGGTGCTGGTAAGAAGGAGTCAAGCGGCGTCTGGGAAGTTGTTCTGGGACTCGACGGACACACACACCGCCGCCACCGCCACCTCCTCCTCCTCTACCTCTTGCTTTCCTTGAGTTTTGCACATGCAGTATCTGATTCCATCACGCTCTGAGCATTAATTTTTAACCTGACACGTGATTATGAACACACCTTAACAAGCAAGAAAAAGTCAGCAAACACAGCTTGGGAGCAGGCTCTGATCTGGATGATGACTTCGCGCAGCTCGCTAATCCTAAAAAAAAAAAAAAATTACTGTGTGAACTATCAACAGTTGTTGGAAACAAATATTTCTTCAGCCTGTAGTCATTTATCATTAATCGTTAACTTTGAAATAAAAGATTTTTCCTCCCCTAGAACTTTTAGGAGGGGAAGTCTTGTTTAGCTGGAGCAACAGCACCCCTCCCCCTCCCACCTCCCTCAAAGCGTCTCTTGAGAAAAGCCTCTGATAAAAATCCTGTTTGTCTTATTGCTCATTGGGTGACACGCATGAGAATTCAGAAACAGACGTGGCTGGTGGAAAGCTTCAGTATCCCAGTCAGAATAGGAACTGCTTCTCCCACCTCTTGAAACTGAACTTGAGGGTCCTAGCAAACTCCCTAGGGAGAGGTAGGCCACTTTAGAATCGCCTCATGAGGCCCTGGGGGAAGAGTTGAATTTATAGTTGAAGTTAGCTGTGGCCAAAAATCCCTATTGCAAATTAGTATCAGGATATTGTTAGACATTGTTTCAAGAGTATACTTGGGCAGGCAGGAGAGCATTTAAAAGAACTATTAACTGTCTTTCTAGGAGTCTCTTAGGAGTGCAAGCCTGTGAATCCCAGCACTTGGAAAGCTGAGGAAGGGGGTGAACTTGAGGTTAGCCCGGGTTACACAATAAGCATTTGGTGTTTTAGGGTGTCTTAGGGCTGGATTGGAGGTAGGATGAAGGGGCTGAAAATATTCCACAGAAGACACCACATTCATTTCCTTCTGAGCGCTTGTGCCCATATGTACACCGTGTACTAATGAATAAATCCTTCACCTGTATTTTTCCTTTATTATAAGCTGTCAGTAGGGAACTTGTCATGCTGTCTCTGAACTGGAAGGGGAGCAGTTTTCCAAGGTAATTATTATGGATCTCATTTCTGCCTCACTGACAACTATTCAGGTAGACAGTGAATGTAGGTGTGTTTTCCTGCCTGTAGCATAAGTGCCAAAGTGTCCATTAGTGTGTCTGAGAACATTGTTGGCCCAGGTCTGCAGTGTTTAATGGTCTCAGGTTCACCCGAGCACCCTTCCCATGGATGCTCTAGGAGCAAGTGCGCCAGGCATTATTCATGCCTAATTCCAGATGACTCCAGGGAATTTGTTTCTCATGCTCTCACCACTGACAACATTATGCACTGTGTTCCGATCTGCTGCGAAGTTGTCTTGGGATCACTAGGGTGGTTCATTTTGCCTAAAACCTGAGAGAGAAGAAGTTAAACTCTGGGTGACCGTGACTGTGTTTGAATTGCTGGGCTTCTTAAGTCCCCTCCAGTTTCCCCGACAAGACCATCATTCTTAAGCTATCATGTGATCAGGTCTGTTTGCCTTAATGGGTTATGTGACTCTGGAAAATGAGAGCAAGCCTGGTTTCAGTGTATCCGCAGAGCTTTGTTCATTTTTAGGCATTTGCTTTGGGAATTAGCAGAGCCTCATTGCTCAGGCTCTCTGGCTACAAGATCTCACGGAGGACCCTTTGTCATCCTTCCAAATGGTGTCTAGCATGGGCACCTTCATGTATTTTCTTACCTTTTATCGTGGCCACAGGAAGTCATACTTTGTATAATAGGGAATGGATGTCTAAAACATTAGGTGTTCCCTTATAGCAGTTTTTTGCTTACAGGGGTTAAATTAGTCTCTCAAACACTGCTCCCCTAGAGGAGAACTGAATTGTTGCAGTGTTGAAGATTGCCATGTGGAGAAACAGAAAAGGCAACCCCAGTCCATCAGTCCCTAGAAAGATTATTGTCATTGGTATGTCTGATAATGTGCAAAGTCCCTCTGCCATAAAAGTATTGTTGGGCTTATGATATATAGTTATAAAACATAAATGTTTTGAGACACTAGAGAGATAGTGGCTAGTACTGCAACCTAAGTAGGGAGTATGCAGTCCTCTCATGAGTCTGAGGATAGCCAGAACTGGAAAAGAAATGCAATTTCTGTGTTTCTAAGCATGGTGAAAAAATAACTGTTCACCTTGCTTTTCTGTTCTGCTTCGCCATTAGGTGAAGTGTAACACATGAAACACTTAGCTGGAAAGGGAAGAAGATAATTTATGTGTATGAGGAATCTGCATCCTGTAAAGGTTCATTTCTAGAAAGGGAATGTAATAGACCTAACATATTTTTCTCCAGATTTAGAAGATGAGGTTTGGAAATCTTCATTCCTTTAAAAGATGTGGGTTTTCCAAACAGCTCTACGAGAACAAGACAGTCTACTTTTAATCATTAGACAATTTAAAATTAAGTAGTACATGTGTCACGTTTCCAGCTATGGGACTGGGACTGAGTATGTTCCATCTGTTTACATCCCTGAATGCCTATGCATAGACCACCTTAAATAAGATGACAAAGCAAATGACTTTGGATTCTTGTTACTTTAATAAGCAGATGTCACTTTAAGTCCACATGAAGACTTTACATCCAGCTTAACGTCTCAGTTGCTCACCAAATATTCCGAACCAATTTGGAGAAAATGACCCGCACTCATTTCTTGAAGTATGTATCATTTTCTATGTTTGGATTAACTTTCACAGGCAGACAGGAACCTCAAGGAAAATGCGGAATGAAGATTGTCTGTGTGAGGTCGTATCACTTCAGTGACTACAGTTCAACAACACTGGGAACCTCTAAGCCTTTTTTCAAGTTAACAGAATAGTGCTTCCACAGAACCAAACTTTGATCTTATATAAAGAAGGCTGTGCTCTTCCCCTAAGTGGAGAGCAGTCTTTTCCACAGATGGCCGACTTCTCCCTGAGTCCCAGCTACATGATCAGAACTTAAGTTTAGGAATTTGAGTTGGTAATAGCTTATCATTTAGTAGACCCTCAGCATTCTTTCATTTGTAAGTGATCTCCAAAGTTCTTGGCACGTAGTCCTCTACCATTTTGCCAAGGAGCAAACTTGACCCTATCAGGACGAGAGCCAAACTGACTGACTACCCAGCACCCACAACCCAGGGAAAACTGGGTACCCTTCCACGCAGTACCGCTCACTTGACTGGTTTCTAAAGATGTTAGTTCTTTTTGAAACACCGACTAAGGGGGGATGTCATGTTGGCACTTGTGAAGTAGGGTGTACTTTGGGACATTAGAAAGTATTCTTTAAATAAATAGGGACTTGCTGTATAAACAAGGCACTTGGAAAGAGGGCTTAATTTGCTTGAGAGGCAAATTCATTAGAGCAAAGTTCCTAGTCTGATTTTTTAAAAAAATGTTTTTGCAGTAATTTCACAGTTTTTCTGCCATTTGCAATAAATCATTTCATTTTTAGGTAAATGGATAAAGCTATGGGCAATCAGCAGTACAATTTTGGTACAGTTGATAAGCCAGACTCTACTTATCTATTGTGTTTTAGATTTTGGAATTCAAAGTTTCATGTTCTGGTGTTAGCATATCTTAACTTTCATGCTCTTCTTGTCCACTGAAATTATTATATGTTTGTTTGTTTGTTTGTTTGTTTGTTTTGCCAGACAGGGTTTCTCTGTATAGCCATGGCTGTCCTGGACTCATTTTGTAGACCAGGCTTGCCTTGAACTCACAGGGATTGGCTTTCCTCTGCCTCCCAGAGTTCTGGGATTAAAGGCATGCGCTACCACGCCCAGCTATTTGTATTTTAGGACATGTGTAGCATAGTGATGTCTCATCTCCTACTCTCCCCTACACAGTCATAATTTAAAAAGAGAGACACTTGACAGCTTGGCTGTCTGGATTCTGTTTCTCCTTAAGATAATATGAAATAAAACTTGGTGCATCTGGCTTAGAAGAATTAACGTTCTCCACGTTAGTCAAGGGAAGGAGGGGGTAGTTGTATTGTAGTCTAAGAGGGAGACACCTGGTTTCCTTAGTAGATCACATTTGACAGAGATTCTGGTGTGACTGGAGTGGCCAGTCAAGGCAGGTATCCACAGAGCAAAGGCTCTTCAAACCCCGCTGAGCTCAAGAGCTGGATCCTCAGCCAGTAAGGGGGGTAGTCAGACAGACACCATATCCCACAGATCTCCCAAAGTGTTATCGCCACATTGTAGAGTGAACACTGTTAGCATCAGAACACCTTCCCTGGTCACTTTGAAGCACTAGTCCTGACATTATTTTCCCCAACAAGCACAGGCTGATACGCATGTGCACCTATCCATGATTCAAGGATATACTCCATGATTCAAGGATGTTAAGGAAACAGCTACATGTATTTCCTCCCCGCAAGTACCTAAGTGTTCCCAAAGTAATGGAATAAGATAAGATTTCTATTTAGAAAGATGGAGAGAAGTAGAATTTTAAGGAGTTAAGAAATCCTAATGAAATAGATTTTTTTTTTTTAAAGGATCTCATTTCTTCATTTCTCCATTCCTGTTATCTCTGGCAGAAATAGAATTCAAGGGACTGAGGCAAAGGAGATAGCAGAGGAGGTGGAACATACATTTGGATGTGTGTGGATATTAGGAATGTGGCTTGGCCTGCTCAGATAGGCTAGGACAGAACAATAGAGATTCCAGCCTTAAGTAAAGCAAGCACAGAGCACCCAGAAGGTGCCAGAATGTCTGTACCTTACAAGAGGAAGAGAGTGAAAATAAGGAAATCACTGTTTTCCTCTTGTTCCTGCTTTGTTCCCGTAGCTGGCCTCTTGAGAAATACCCCCTCCCATCCCATTCTGGGATGCCTGATTGTGAATGAATTATCCTACCCGCCGAGTCAGCTGAACCAGAAGATTTGGAGCCAGTCAGAGCCCACTGATGCTTGAGCAATGATGAAAGCACTACCAGCCCTCTTTGTTATTGCCTTTCTCCAGGGATGATTGATCAAGGTTTTAAATACATCTTTCAGGATAAAACTGTATTCTTGTGTTTAGTATATACAATGCTCTGTGAGGGGTTCTTACCCGCTGCCTCTCCCATCTTCTCTGTCCACCCCTATGAGCTGAATATAATTCCTGAATTATACACAGTTGCCTACCTCCCTGCTCTTTCGTGTTGTTCCTTCTAAGTGTCCCCCTCTCTGTCTCTTAATTTACTAACGCCATTTTACCTTCCCAGCTCCCTCCAGTGGCACCTCTCACTGCTCTTCTCACTGCATCTGACTTTGTACCCTTTGTCTAAGCCACGACATCATCTGTGCATATCTGTCACTGGAAGTCACTATGTACCGTTCAGGAAACATAGTTCCTGAACCAAAACAGTAATTTATTCTTCCAGCAACGCAAGTGCTCACCCAGTGACTTTCAAATGCTAACAGGGGTCCAAGGTGAAGGCATTAGACAAGCTGAAACCATAGAACACACACCCAAATAAATAATCAACAGGAATACTCATAAAGTTATTAGGTACAGTGTTAGACTTCATATCTCTTACAGTGATCCCTTTATTTTGCAGCATAATTCAAATGTCTACAATTATTTATTTGTACGCAAGTATAAAGATGGTGATTCACAGGCCAACAGCTGTTTCCGCCATGCCCAAGAATATGGAACTTCAGTGCATCGGGGTGAAATGCACCCATGTTCCCAAGGACTGGATAAATGGCAATGCCTAACATATTATTTTCCAATTTCAAAGCAAAAAAAAATTGTAAAATTTTCATGCCATCTTCCAAACGCATGCATCATGTAGGAAAAATAAGATTCCTAGCATGACTCCACCCCTCCCAGACGCCTTTGCTGCCCAGTAAAGTGTGTTTTAGATTTACTATCTAAATGAGCATGTTGCCCAGAAAGTTATGTAAGAACTTACTGTAATAGGGATGAGAAATAAGAAGGAAGAAGAAGAAGAAGAAGAAGAAGAAGAAGAAGAAGAAGAAGAAGA